GGTGGAAGGGCAGGGTGAGGAGGAAAGGGGAGGGGTGGGAGGGCAGGGGATAGGAGGGCAGGGGAGGGGTGGGAGGGCAGGGGATAGGAGGGCGGGGGAGGGGCCGGAGGGCAGGACAAGGCACAGAGGCCCTGCTCACCCTGAATCATCTTGGTCACTCACGCTCAGTGTTTCATGCCAGCACCATCTCCCCACCCAAGTGTTGCTTATTTGGTTTGTAGTTCTACTCCGTGGCCTCCTGGCCACTCCCTGGTTTTCCTCAGAATAGGCTTCATTTCCTGCTCGGCATTTTTTTGAATGGATTTTAGAATCCTTGATTTTTTAATTTAATTAGGACTTTATTAAGTCTCACCGAACCTGGGAAATGTCAACATTTAGCCACTTAAGAGCACATAAGAACACATAAGAGTTGTATAAGAGCATGGTGGGTGGGGCACCTGGGTGGCTCAGTCGGTTGAGTGTGGGACTCTTGATTTCGGCTCAGGCCATGATCTCACGGTTCATGAGTTCAAGCCCCATGTTGGGCTCTGTGCTGGCGGCACGGAGCCCGCTTAGGATCCTCTCTGGCCCTCTCCCCTGCTCGTTCTCTCTCTCCCTCTCTCTCTCCCTCACAATAAACAAAAAAGAACGTGGCAGGCATCGCTGTCCTTGCCCGTGCCCAACCTGGACTGTCCTTTCCGTGCAGGCAGAACCAAGCTCAGGGCTGTACAGTGGCACCCCTCGGTCGGAGCCGGGCCAGCCCGGGGCCTCTGTCCCGGTGCTCAGTGCTTGGGCCACACACAGCCCTCTAGGCCTCCTGCTGCCCTCAACTGTCCGAACAGAGGCCTCGGTGGCTTTACCTGGAAGTCTCTTCTGCTCTCAAGGGGGCCCCGAGGGCAGGTCCTTGCCACTCTGACCCAGGGAACCCCCACAGCTTTGGCCACCCCTGTAGGAGGAGGAGGGAATTTCCAAAGGGAAGCCCCCGGGCTCAGCCCTCTGCACGTGCAGTTGAGGTCCTGTGCCTTTGACAAAGGCGCCCCAAAGTGGGGATGCGGGGTGGCTGCTCTCAGGGATGGGGTGGCTGGAATCTGGGCATGCAGCCTGTGAGGCCGTGCAAGGTGTGGGGTGGTGGGGAGAGAAGGGCTGAGTGCAGCGGGCAGGCCCCCTTCCTGCTGCACACTTTTCCCAAAAAAGTGAAGGAAGCTGAGGCTCTAACTCCTCCCGGGGCCTGTGAAGGTGCCATTCCTCAGGGTGGAGGGACCGACGTGCCATTCGATTCACATCTGTAAATCGTGGACTCCTCAAGCGCAGGCATGGGCATGTGAGCCCCTCGGGGCCCTGGGAAGCTGTTGGGACCCAGAGAACATGCGTCCGTGCCAGAACAGGCACAGAAAACAAAAACCAAAATGGACTGCTGTGATTCAGGCCTATCTCAAGAAGTGAGAAAGGTTCCAAAGACACAAGCAAAACTTACACCTAGAGGAATTAGAAAAGGAGGAGCAAATAAAGCCCACAGCCAGCAGAAGAAGGGAAATAATAAAGATTAGAGCAGAAGTAAACAATATAGAAACAAACAAAACAGCAGAACAGATCAATGAAACCGAGAGCTGGTTCTCTGAAAGAATAAACAAAGTTAATAAACCCCTGTCCAGACTGGACCCAAATAGATAAAATCATGAATGAAAGGGGAGAGATTACAACCAACACCACAGAAATACAAACAATTATAAGAGAATACTGTGAAAAATTATATGCCAACAAACTGGGCAATCTGGAAGAAATGGACAAATTCCTAGAAACTCACAACTACTAAAACTCAAACAAGAAGAAATGGAATATTTGAACAGGCCCATAACCAGCAAAGAAATTGAATCTATAATCAAAAATCTCCAAACAAACAAACAAAAAATCTCCAAACAAACAAAAGTCCTGGGCTAGATGGCTTCCCAGGGAATTTTACTAGACATTTAAATTATTTTAATGTGTATTTATTTTTGAGAAGGAGAAGGAGACACAGAATCTGAAGCAGACTGCAGACTCCAGGCTCTGAGCTGTCAGCACAGAGCCAGACACGGGCTCAAACCCACAAACCACGAGATCGTGACCTGAGCCGAAGTCGGATACGTAACCAACTGACCCACCCAGCTGTCCCACTAACAGACACTTAAAGAAGAATTAATACCTACTCTTCACAAACTGTTCCAAAAAATACAAATGGAAGGAAAGCCTCCAAACTCATTCCATGAAGCCAGTATTACCTTGATTCCAAAACCAAAGACTCCACTAAAAAGGAGACTTACAGGCCAATATTTCTGATGACTATGGATGCAAAAATTCTCAACAAGATACTGGCAAACTGAATTTAAGAGTACATTAAAAGAATTATTCACCATGATCAAATGGGATTTATTCCTGGGCTGCAGCGTTGGTGCAATATCTACAAATACCATGTTGGTGCAACATGATACACCACGTTAATAAAAGAAAGGATAAGAACCCTATGATCCTGTCAATAGATGCAGAAAAAGCATTTGACAAAACATAGCCTCCATTCTTGATAAAAACTCTCAACAAAGTAGGGAGAGAAGGAATATACCTCAAACACCATAAAGGCCACATACAAAAGACCCACAGATAATATCATCCTCGGTGGGGAACAACTGAGAGCCTTTCCCCTACCGTCAGGAACAAGACAGGGTTGTCCAGTCTCACCATTACCATTTAACATTGTACTGGAAAGCTTCGCCTCAGCAATCAGACAACAGAAAGAAACAAAAGGCATCCAAATCAGCAAGGAAGAAATCAAACTTTCACTATTTTGCAGATGACATGATACTCTATGTAGAAAACTCGAAAGACTATCAAAAAATTGCTAGAACTAATACATGAATTCAGCAAAGTTGCAGGATATAAAATCGACAGACAGAGATTGGTCGCGTTTCTATACACCAATTAGCAAAGCAGCAGAAAAAGAAATCATGAAATTGATCCTATTTATAATTGCACCAAAACCAATTAGACACATAGGAGTAAACCTAACCAAGAAGGTAAAAGATCCATACCCTGAAAACTATAGGACGCTTATGAAAGGAATTGAAGAAGACACAAAGAAATGGGAAAGTATTCCATGCTTATGGACTAGAAGAACATTGTTAAAATGTCTATACTACCCAAAGCAATCTACACATTTAATGCAATCCCTGTCAAAATACCCTCAGCATTTTTTGCAGAGCTAGAACAAACAATCCTAAAATTTGCATGGAACCAAAAGAGCCGAATAAGCAAAGCAATTCTGAAAAAGAAAAACAAAACTAGAAGCATTATAATTGCTGTATTACAAAGCTGTAGTCATCAAGACAGTATGGTACTGGCATAAAAACAGACACATAGATCAATGGAACAGAGTATGGATCCACAACTGTATGGTCAACTCATCTTCGACAAAGCAGGAAAGAATATCCAATGGGAAAAAGACAGTCTCTTCAACAAATGGTGTTGGGAAAACTGGACAGTGACACACAGAAGAATGAAACTGGACCACTTTTTTACACCATACACAAAAATAAATTCAAAGTGGATGAAAGACCTAAATGTGAGACAGAAAACCATCAAAATCCTAGAGGAGAACACAGGCAGCAACCTCTTTGACCTTGGCCAGAGCAACTTCTTGCTAGGCACATCACCAGAGACAAGGGAAACAAAAGGAAACATGAACTGTTGGAACCTGGTCAAGATAAAAAGCTTCTGCACAGCAAAGGAAACAGTCAACAAAACTAAAAGGCAGCCTATGGAATGGGGGAATATATTTACAAATGACATATCTGATAAAGGGTTAATATCCAAAATCCATAAAGAACTTCAAACTCAACACCCAAAAAACAACCCAGTTAAGAAATGGGCAGAAGACATGAACAGACACTTTCCCAAAGAAGACATCCGGATGGCCAACAGACACGTGAAAAGATGCTCAACATCACTCATCGTCAGGGAAATACAAATCAAAACCACAATGAGATACCACCTCACACCTGTAAGAATGGCTAAAATTAACAACACAAGAAACAACAGGTGTTGGTGAGGATGCAGCGAAAGGGAAACCCTCTTGCACTGCTGGTGGGAATGCAAACTGGTGCAGCCACTCTGGAAAACAATGTGGAGGTTCCTCAAAAAACTAAAACTAGAACTACCCTACCACCTAGCAATTACACTATTAGGCACTTACCCAAAGGATACACGAATACGAATTCGAAGGGGTGCATGCACCCCAATGTTTTATAGCAGCATTATCAACAATAGCCGATAGCCAAACTATAGAAAGAATGCAAATGTCCATTGACAAACGGATGAAGAACATGTGATATATATACACATACACAATAGAACATTACCCAGCCATCAAAAAGAATGAAATCTTGCCCTTTGCAACAATGTGGATGGATCTAGATGGTATTATGCTAAGTGAAATAAGTCAATCAGAGAAAGACAAATACCATATGCTTTCAATCCTATGTGGAATTTTAGAAACAGATGAACACAGGGGAAGTGGGGGGAAGAGAAAAGAGGGAAATAAACCATAAGAGACCCTTTTTTTTTTGCAATATAATTTATTGTCAAATTGGCTAGCATACAGCGTGTAAAGTGTGCTCTTGGTTTTTGGGGTAGATTCCCGTGGTTCATCGCTTACATACAACACCCAGTGCTCATCCCAACAAGTGCCCCCCTCGATGCCCATCACCCATCTCCCCTCTCCCCCACCCCCCCATCCGCCCTCAGTCTGTTCTCTGTATTTAAGAGTCAACCATAAGAGACTCTTAACGATAGAGAACAGACTGAGGGTTATGGAGGAGGAGGGTGGGGGGGAGGGGCTAGATGGTTTATGGGCATAGGGAGACCACTTGGGATGAGTCCTGGATGTGGTACGAAGGGATGAATCACTGAATTCTCCTCATGAAACCAGTATTGCACTGTATCTTAACTAAAATTTAAATTAAAAAAAAAAAGAGAAATAAAATAAAAATGGACTGCTGTGGATCCCAGTGTCGTATCGGCTGCAACCGGGCTCCTTGCTGGCTGTCACTCACCTGCCGTGCAGGAAGCAGGGCTGCAGTGTCTGCTGCACTGTGGGGCCAGATCTCCACCAGGAAGGGCCCAGTGGGCCCCAGAACCTGGGCAGAAAGAGAGGAAGGGTGGGCAGGGGGCCCCCAAGGGCCTGGGCCTTCTGGGCCCCTGGGGCCCGCAGGCCAAGAAGAGGTGAGCAGGGTATCATGGGTGCCGCAGGGCTGGAGGCTGGCCCCTGTTCACCCACTTCTGTGTGTGTGTCTCTCTCTCTCTCCCCCACCCCACGCAGCCCGGCCACGCCTGTGCAGCTCGGGGCCCTGCCGGAACGGGGGCACGTGCAAGGAGGCAGGCAGCGAATACCACTGCAGCTGCCCCTACCGCTTCACCGGGAGGCACTGCGAGATCGGTGCGCTCCTGCCAGCTGGAGTCAGCCTGGAAGGGCTGGGGGGGCCCAAGGCCCACCAGCTCTGGGGTGTGGGAGGGTCAGGGGAGGGGCGCTGGGCGGTGGGTGCAGGACACCCGACACCCGACTCTGATGGGGCCCCTTCGTTTCCAGGGAAGCCAGACTCATGTGCCTCGGGCCCCTGTCACAATGGCGGCACCTGCTTTCACTACATCGGCAAATACAAGTGCGACTGTCCCCCAGGCTTCTCCGGGCGGCACTGCGAGATAGGTAAGGCGGGTAGAGGCCAGCGGGCCAGGGCACCTGGGGCGGCATGTCCTCCCAGTGGGCAGGGGTGGCCCCGCTCTGGAGGAGTGGGAGGCAGAGCTCCCGTGGAGCCTAGAGGCCGTCGGGGAGGCCCCAGTGATGGTGACCCCTTGTGTCCTTGCAGCCCCGTCCCCCTGCTTCCGGAGCCCCTGCTCGAACGGGGGTACCTGTGAGGACCTAGGCACAGACTTCTCCTGCCGCTGCCGAGCAGGGTACATGGGACGCCGGTGCCAGGCGGGTGAGAGGGCTGGGGGTTGGGGTGGAGGGACGGGATCTCTTCCTAATCCCGAAAGAGCAGAGGAGGGGAGGGGGAAGAAGGAAAATCCGACGGGCAGCCAGCCCTGGAAGTCAAGGCACTTCCACCTGGAAGGGCTGTGCAGGGAGAAGGGTCCTAGGCCCTGTGGCCCAGCGGGGCAGAGGGCAGAGTGGCGGGGCAGAGGGCAGAGGGGAGGGGAGAAGGGTCCCAGGCCCTGAGGCCCGGTGGGGCAGAGGCCAGAGCCGGCGGAGAGGCCTCCGGCAGACGAATCTCAGTGCAGGACAGGGCCGCTGTGTCCTTACAGAGGTGGACTGCGGCCCCCCAGCGGAGGTGAAGCATGCCACGCTGCATTTTAACGGCACTCGGCTGGGCTCGGTGGCCCTGTACAAGTGTGACCACGGCTACAGCCTGAGCTCCCCCAACCACGTCCGAGTCTGCCAGCCACAGGGCGTCTGGAGCGAACCTCCACAGTGCCACGGTGATCCGCA